AGGAGTTGGCACTGGCTGAAGAGGAGGTGAGGCGCGATTCCTGGAATCGGAGCATTAGGTCGAAACTGAGAAGAACCGGAGAAAGGCGATTTGTTACTGGAATGCTTCACCTTGGTGATCGTGAACTGCTGTTCCAACCCAGTGCTGGCAACAGCACCAGTACGGCTTTGGTTGAGGTATGAGGATTTTATAGAATTGGACCATAGATGTTGATGAGAAATTTTGATCAAAGTTCTTTTGTAACAACCAGAAAAATCATTTTGCCGTTTGGTACGAAATTTTATTTATGTCACATAACTGCCTGTTCTGCATTCTCCCCTCGTCTGGCATAAGAAAAATTGTACATATTTTATTCTTAAACGAGACATTATTTTGATGCGCTTAGTCGTAATCCTCTTCTGATCGGTTAATTTCAGCAGATTCTTGATTTTGTTCCAGCTGACTTCGGCTGTACGTAATTTTGACCATAGCACATCTTCGTTCACCATCTGGGCGAGGTTTGGTGAAGAGCTGATGGAGATAGGATTTGCGCAGGAGAGTGATAGGGACGAATGGCATGAACTTTTGCAGCAGGTAAGCATATTTGTCATTTTTTCACTTCGTCAGTAGGAAAAGAGCTATCATCTTTGTTTCCGCCTCTCTAAACGAATTTTTCTCTGAAATTGAATTTTTCGGAAATTCGACGGCGCTTACTGGCTGCAGGTAGTTCTTCGGATATGCGCGCACTTTGGACTGTTTCTAGTCAAGGCCTTATTCAGTATCATATGGTTTCAAAAGTAAGTTTTAGAAATTTCGGTAGTCCGTTATTGCACACCATCAAATCATTCAGGACACCTTCAACAAAATCTCATACCCCTCTAGTCTGTGTATTCCTGGATGCATGAAGGCTGTTTCAGCTGGAGCTCAAGGGGTAGTATGGTCTTTGGCCAAGGTCTGCATACACTTTCTCTTTGCCTCTGAAGATATCCCTAATTTTAGGATGGAAGAGTTTATGCTTTGTCGCCAGAATTCAGCCCAGTATGTGGAGTTACTGCCGTGTCTCTTCCGCAAAAGACAGAAGTGCTTAGAGAAGTAAAAATTCAACAAG